GCCTTGGGGGTGGGGCCTGGGGCGGGACCTGCCAGGGGAAGGTGGCCTCTTCCTCCTCAGGCTGCTTCTCTCCCAGGGGAAGTTCATCAGGATTCATTTCGGGGCCACTGGGAAGTTGGCGTCAGCTGACATCGAGACTTGTGAGTGGGCTGAGGGCTCCAGGGGGAGGAGGGCTGTTGGCTATCAGCTGTCCGTCCATCTGTCTGTGGTCTTGTCCCACTACCAATCCGTCCGTCCCTCCATCCCTCCATCCATCCATCCATCCATCCATCCATCCATCCCTCCCTCCATCCATCCATCCATCTTTCCATGTCTCCACCCATCTCTCCATCCCTCCATCTCCTCATCCCACTATCCATCTCCTCATTTCTCCATCCCCTCACGTCTCCCTCCACCTCCTTGTGTCTCCATCCATCTCATGTCTGGATCCATCTCCTCGTCTCTCGGTCCATCTCATCTCTCCATCCATCCCCCCAACACACCCTCCCCTCACCTCCTCTCCATCTCAACCCCAGACCTCCTGGAGAAGTCCCGTGTCATCTTCCAGCTGAAGGCTGAGAGGAACTACCACATCTTCTACCAGATCCTCTCTAACAAGAAGCCGGAGCTGCTGGGTGAGCTGGCTGGAGGCCTGGCCCTGCCCTCGCCCTCAGGCCTTCCCCTCCCCCAACTCCTCCACTCACCCTTGGGGTGGTTGAGGACAATTTGGAGCCATTTGCCCACTGGCAATGCTCAATTTTTGTCACTGTCCTTGGTCCCCACGGTGCAGAGCTGCTCCTGGTCACTACCAACCCCTACGACTACGGCTATGTCTGCCAAGGCGAGGTGACTGTGGCCTCCATTGATGACGCGGAGGAGCTGCTGGCGACTGACGTGAGTGGTGGGGTGAACGGGGGGACAGCCCAGGGTGGAGGAGCAGGGGGTGGGTTGGGCAGCTCAGGTGGGGGGAGGGACAGGAGTTGGTAGGTGGAGGAGTCGTCCATGGGTGGATGGAAGGAGTCCTCAGAAGAATGGATGGATGGATGGATGGATGGATGGATGGATGGATGGATGGATGGATGGATGGATGGATGACTCCATGGATAGATGGATGGAAGAATCCATGGACAGATGAGTCCATGGACGGATGAGAGTCCTCAGATGGATGGATGGAGTCCTCAGATGGATGGATGGATGGATGGATGGATGAGTCCATAGGTGAGTCCTTCAAGTAGATGGATGAGTCCCTAGATGAATGGGACCATGGATGGATGAATCCATGGATGGATATGTTCTCAGATGGGTGGATGGAAGGATGATTCTGTGGATGAGTCCTTCCAACACCCCTTTCAGTCCATGGATGGATGAGTCCATGGATGGATGGATGAGTCCTCACATGGATGGATGAGCCCTTGGATGAGTCCATGGCTGGCCAAACCCATAGCTGGTTGAGCTCTCGGATGGACGGCCAGGCCAACAAGCAGGAAGGGCAGAGGGAGGCCCAGAAGGTGGCCAGAAGATGGAGGCGTCCTCAGCTTGGCAAGGGGAGGGGCGAGGCCCTCTCTGACCCCCCTCTGTCCACCCCACAGAGTGCTTTCGATGTCTTGGGCTTCACCACCGAGGAGAAGGCTGGCGTCTACAAGCTGACGGGCGCCATCATGCACTTTGGCAACATGAAGTTCAAGCAGAAGCAACGGGAGGAGCAGGCGGAGCCAGACGGCACTGAAGGTGGGGTGGGGTAGCGGGGGACACAGTGTTTGGGGTCCACCAGGCTTTCTCCGAGGCGGAGGCCAGGTGGGACCTGACCGCGTGGTTTCTCCTCCACACTGCAGATGCTGACAAGTCAGCCTACCTGATGGGGCTGAACTCAGCCGATCTCCTCAAGGGGTTGTGCCACCCACGGGTGAAGGTGGGCAACGAGTATGTCACCAAGGGGCAGAATGTCCAGCAGGTTGTCTACTCCATTGGGGCCCTGGCCAAGGCCGTCTATGAGAAGATGTTCAACTGGATGGTGGGGAGGATCAACAACTCGCTGGAGACCAAGCAGCCACGGCAGTACTTCATTGGCGTGCTGGACATCGCCGGCTTTGAGATCTTTGATGTGTGGCCTGGGGGGGTGGCGCTGGGCCTCTCAGGGTTGGGGTTGAGCTGACTGGGCATGGAGGTGACCTCCTGGATCTTCTTGTTGGCCTTTGGTGGAAACTCAGTCGCTTTGGGCGCTGTGGTGACCATGTTGGGTGTCCAGTATATCCTGTTGATCCCATTGGGCATCACGGTGACCCTGTTGGGTCTCAGGTTGACCCCACTGATCTCAATGGGGGTTCTGTTGACCCCATTGTGTGTCCAGTTGACCTTGTTGATCCCAATGGACCTTATGTTGACCCCATTAGGTGTTGAGTTAACTTTGTTGACCCCATTGCATGTTCATTTGACCCCATTGGGTGTCCACTTGATTCTGTTGACCCCATTGGGTGTTCTATTGACCCTCTTGAGTGTTGAGTTGACCCCATTGTCGGCCCCCTCTCTCCCCATCTCGGCCCCCTCCCCACCCCAGTTCAACAGCTTTGAGCAGCTCTGCATCAACTTCACCAATGAGAAGCTGCAGCAGTTCTTCAACCACCACATGTTCGTGCTGGAGCAGGAGGAATACAAGAAGGAGGGGATCGAGTGGGAGTTCATCGACTTTGGCATGGACCTCCAGGCCTGCATCGACCTCATAGAGAAGGTACCAGGTCCACCCTGGGCCTTGTGGGGCTGGGTAGGCTTCTGGAGAAGGAGCTTCTAGTTGGGGCTTGCCAGGGACCGCAACAGCAAGTAGTGGGGCTGCACTTGGTGGCCACTGTGGCCAACAAGGACTCCTCCTCCTCCTCAGCCCATGGGGATCATGTCCATCCTGGAGGAGGAGTGTATGTTCCCCAAGGCCTCGGACATGACCTTCAAAGCCAAGCTCTATGACAACCACCTGGGCAAGTCGGCCAACTTTGGGAAGCCACGTAATGTCAAGGGAAAGCCAGAGGCCCACTTCTCACTCGTCCATTATGCCGGCACGGTGGACTACAACATCCTGGGCTGGCTGGAGAAGAACAAGGACCCCCTCAATGAGACAGTGGTGGGGCTCTACCAGAAGTCGGCCCTCAAGCTCTTGGCCAACCTCTTCTCCAACTACGCCGGGGCAGACGCTGGTGAGTGGGCTGTGGCTGGGTGACAGAAGGCTGGGCAGATGGAGAGTACAGTTGGCCCCGAGAGTCTCCTCCCTTCCTGCCCCACCCCACCCCTCTTTTCCCCAGGAGGTGATGGAGGGAAGGGGAAGGGAGCCAAGAAGAAAGGTTCCTCCTTCCAGACTGTCTCAGCCCTGCACCGGGTAAGCAGTCCTGTCATGGGGCGGAGGGAGGACAACCCCCCCCACATGGAAGGTGACCGCACTGCCACCTGTCTTGTCCCCTGCGGGCCTATTGGTCAACCTCTTCTCTCCTCCTCCCCTCCACAGGAGAACGTGATGGACAATCCCCTGGTGATGCACCAGCTCCGCTGCAATGGGGTGCTGGAGGGCATCCGCATCTGCCGCAAGGGATTCCCCAACCGCATCCTCTACGGGGACTTCCGCCAGCGGTAAGCAGGGAGGAGCAGAGGTGGGGAGGGGGTGGACAACCCCACCGGGGCACACTGCTGGGGCTGAGTCTGGGGTGTCCTGGCCCCACCTACCCCCAGGTACCGCATCCTGAACCCCACGGCTATCCCTGAGGGGCAGTTCATCGACAGCCGCAAGGGTGCTGAGAAGCTCCTGGGGTCCCTGGACATCGACCACAACCAGTACAAGTTTGGGCACACCAAGGTGAGGTTGTGCGGTCTGTTGTAGGCTCACCATCCATGAGGTCCCATGGACCCTGTGGTCCCACTACCCATGATGTCTTATTGACCCCCTTGTCGCACCAGCCACAAGGTCTTATTGACCTCATGGTCCCACCACCCACATGATCGAATGGACCCCATGGTCCCACCATCCACGAGGCCTTGTTGACCTCATGGTCCCACCATCCACAAGGTCTTGTTGACCTCCTGGTCCCACCATCCACGAGGTCTTATTGATCTAATGGTCCCACCACTCACGAGGTCTTGTGGACCACATGGTCCCACCACCCACACCTCATGGTCTTACCACCCATGCGGTCACATGGACCCCATGGTCCCACCACCCAAGTGTCCCCCTGCCTATCTCCAGCCCCACCCATCCATCCATCCACCCACCAACCCACCCATCCATCCATCCATCCATCCACCTACCAAACCTTCCCAACCAACCCGTCCCCTCCCTCACTGCAGTCCTTCCTCCCCCAGGTCTTCTTCAAGGCTGGGCTGTTGGGGCTGCTGGAGGAGATGCGGGACGAGCGTCTCTCCCGCATCATCACCCGTATCCAGGCTCAGGCCCGGGGTCAGCTCATGCGCATTGAGTTCAAGAAGATCCTGGAGCGCCGGTGAGAGGAGGCCTCCGTCAGGGAGGGACCTCTCCAGGATCACTGGGGCCGTGGCGTGGTGGCATCTTGGTCCCTGTTGCAGGGATGCGCTGCTGGTGATCCAGTGGAACGTCAGAGCCTTCATGGGGGTGAAGAACTGGCCCTGGATGAAGCTCTACTTCAAGATCAAGCCCTTGCTGAAGAGCGCTGAGACAGAGAAAGAGATGCAGGTGAGAGGAGGAGGCGGGGTGAGGGCGTGGGACAACCAATGCCATGGGGTGGAGGGGGGTTGGGGGCTGGAGGGGGTCTGACGTTGCTGTTGGTCTCCTGGGCTCTGGCACAGAGCATGAAGGAGGAGTTTGGGCGGCTAAAGGAGGCCCTGGAGAAGTCAGAGGCCCGGCGGAAGGAGATGGAGGAGAAGATGGTCTCCATGCTGCAGGAGAAGAATGACCTGCAGCTCCAAGTGCAGGCTGTGAGTGACATTGCCCCCCAAACCCCCACCAAGAGGGTAGCCCAGCTTGAGCTACCCCCCTGGGGCATCGTCTTTCACCTGCCACCCCAACACAGGAGCAGGACAACCTCACTGATGCTGAGGAGCGCTGTGACCAGCTGATCAAGAGCAAGATCCAGCTGGAGGCCAAGGTGAAGGAGCTGCTGGAGCGGCTGGAGGACGAGGAGGAGATGAACGCTGAGCTGACGGCCAAGAAGAGGAAGCTGGAGGACGAGTGCTCGGAGCTGAAGAAGGACATCGACGACCTGGAGCTGAGCCTGGCGAAAGTGGAGAAGGAGAAACACGCCACCGAGAACAAGGTGAGGGAGGGGAGAGGCCTTGACCTCAAGCTGAGGAGGTTCAAGTCAGCTCAGCCTGGTGGGGTTGAGTTGAGAAGATCCTAGGCTGGCTGGGTTGGGGAGACCCTAGGACGGTTGGGTTGGGTTGAGTTGAGTTCGGTTGGGTTGGGTTGAGGAGATACAAGGCTGGTTGGTTTCGGTTGGGTTGGGTTGAGTTGAGTTGAGTTCGGTTGGGTTGGGTTGAGGAGACACAAGGCTGGTTGGGTTGGGTTGGGTTGGGTTGGGTTGGGTTGGGTTGGGTTGGGTTGGGTTGGGGAGACCCAAAGCTGTTTTGGTTTGGTTGGGTTGGATTGGGGAAACCCAGTGCTGGTTGGGTTGGGCTACATCAGGAAGACCCAAGGCTCTTTTTTTGGTTTTTCCTGCACTGAAGTGGTCTTATTGGCCAAGACCAACAGCAGCTCCTCCCCAGCTCTGCCCCATCTCTGGCCCCAAACTGGAGGCCTGATGTTTCTCCTGCAGGTCAAGAACCTCACAGAAGAGATGGTTGGGCTGGATGAGACCATCACCAAGCTGACGAAGGAGAAGAAGGCCCTGACAGAAGCTCATCAGCAAGCGCTGGATGACCTGCAGGCGGAGGAAGACAAGGTCAACACCTTAACAAAGGCCAAGGTCAAGCTGGAACAGCAGGCAGATGAGGTGAGTGTGGGCCGGGCCCACCACAGGCGCTGCTGAGGAGCTTCCCAGGGCAGAGGTGAGGAAACCTGGGTTTTTTCCCCATTCCTCTATTTCCCCACAGCTCGAAGGCTCCCTGGAGCAGGAGAAGAAGATCCGGATGGACCTGGAACGGGCCAAGAGGAAGCTGGAAGGTGACTTGAAGCTGACCCAGGAGAACATCATGGACCTGGAGAATGACAAACAGCAGCTGGAGGAGAAGCTCAAGAGGTGAGGCGGGACCTTCCGCCCCACTGTGAGCCAGGCAGGCGGCACAGGCCAGGCCCTCAGCGCCCTCCACCTTTCTCTTCAGGAAAGAGTTTGAGCTCCAGCAGCAGAACAGCAAGGTTGAGGATGAGCAGGCACTGGCCCTGCAGCTCCAGAAGAAGCTGAAGGAGCTGCAGGTGAGGGATTTAGTCTCTGCCTGGTTGGACTGGGCTGAAGAGCCTCCAACAGGTTGGGTTGGGTTGAATTGAAGAGTCTCCAGTGGCTTGGGTTAGGCTGAGTTTAAGTGTCTCCAGTTGTCTGGGTGGAGTTGAGTGGGGGAGTTGAGCTGAAGAAACTCCGACATGTCAAGTTGAGTTGGATTGAAGAGTCCCCAGCTTCTTGGGTTGACCTGAAGATCCTCCAGCTGGTGGGGCTTTGTTGAAGAGTCTCCAGCCTGTTGGGTTACCTTGAGTCGGGTGGAAGAGTCTCCAGCTGGTTGGGTTCAGTTGAGAAGCCTCCAGCTGGTTGGGGTGGGTTTTGTTGACTTGAAGAGTTTCCAGTTGGTTGAGTTGGGTTGACTTGTGTTGAAGAGTCTGCAGTTAGTCTGGTTGACTCGAGTCAAAGAGTCTCCAGTGTATTTGGTTGAAGAGTCTCCAGTTGGTTGGGTTCAGTTGAGTTGACTAGAAGACTCTGCCGTTGGTATGGCTGAAGAGTTTCCAGCTGTTTGGGTTGAGGAGTCTCCACCCAGCTGGGCTGAGTTGAGCGGACACACTGGACGGAGTCATGCCCGATGACAGCCTCCCTGTCCCTGGAGCACAGGCGCGGATTGAGGAGCTGGAGGAGGAGCTGGAGTCGGAGCGGGCGGGCAGGGCCAAGGTGGAGAAGCTGCGCTCAGAGCTGGCACGAGAGCTGGAGGAGATCAGCGAGCGACTGGAGGAGGCGGGCGGCGCCACTGCGGTGCAGCTGGAGCTCAACAAGAAGCGGGAGGTGGAGTTCCAGAAGATGCGGCGGGACCTGGAGGAGGCCACGCTGCAGCATGAGGCCACAGCTGCTGCGCTGCGGAAGAAGCACGCTGACAGCGTGGCTGAGCTCGGCGAGCAGATGGACAACCTGCAGCGAGTCAAGCAGAAGCTAGAGAAGGAGAAGAGTGAGCTCAAGCTGGAGCTGGATGACCTCAGCTCCACTGTGGAGCAGCTGCTCAAGGCCAAGGTGGGTGAGGGGTCTCCAGCTGTGGGGGATTTCATCATTCACCCAATGGCCCCTGTCACCTTCCCACCCTTCCTCTCTCCAGGCCAACCTGGAGAAGATGTGCCACGCAATGGAGGACCAGATGAATGAGCACCGGGCCAAGTCCGAAGAGGCTCAACGCACAGTCAACGACCTCACCACCCAACGAGCCAAGCTCCAGACAGAGAACGGTGAGGGCCTCACTCTTCCCCAAGTCAAACGCCTGTCCTGGGCCCAGCGAGGTGGCTCTGGGGGCTCTCCAGTGAGCGACTGTCCACCTCTGCACCCCACAGGTGAGCTCTCCAGGCAGCTGGAGGAGAAGGAAGCCTTCATCAACCAGCTGACACGAGGGAAGCTCACCTATAGCCAGCAGCTGGAGGACCTCAAGAGGCAGCTGGAGGAAGAGGCCAAGGTAGGGCTGCGTTCTGGGGCGGTCATTGGAGCTAAAGGTGGGGGGTGAGAGACACCTCCGACGTCAAGGGTGAGGTCGGTTTGGGACTGAGGGATTCAGTGTGAGACTGCCCTTTGGCTGGGGGAAATGGAGCCAAGGGTCATCAGGAAGGTTGGTAGGGTCAGCAGGGCTTGAGGAGGTACGACTGGGCTGGTTGGGAGTCAGGAGTTTAGGTGGGTTGGTCTGGAGGAGGTTGGGTTGGTCTAAAGGACATCTGAGGAAGGTTGGTTTGGTCTGGAGAAGGTCTGAGTGAGATTGGGTTGGTCTGGAGGAGCTTGGATTGGTCTGGAGAAGGTCTGAGGAAGACTGGGTTGCTCTGAAGGAAGTTGGATGAGGTTGGCTTGGTCCACAGAGGACTGGGCTGGCTTGGGGTGATGAAGATCAGTACTGACTCAATTGGAGAACCCCAAGACGTCTCCGGGTGCCGTGGTCCTACCAGCCCCCCCTTCTCCTCGACTCCCCAGGCTAAGAACGTGCTGGCCCACGCCCTCCAGTCGGCCCGGCATGACTGCGACCTGCTGCGGGAGCAGTACGAGGAGGAGACAGAGGCCAAGGCCGAGCTCCAGCGCTCGCTCTCCAAGGCGAACTCCGAGGTGGCACAGTGGAGGACCAAGTATGAGACAGATGCCATCCAGCGCACTGAGGAGCTGGAGGAGGCCAAGTGAGTCCCCTCCCTGTTGCTCCTGAGGATCTTCCTGGGCGGTGGGACTCACTCAGCCTCACCACTCCCACCTACCCTCTCACCTTGAGCGGCCACCACCCAGGACACTGGAATTCTTCATGCTGGGTCGATCTAGAGCTCACCCTAGAACCTGCCTTGAGTCACCTAGACTGTCCATGAATCCCACCACCACCTTGATCTCGAGCGTCTCCACTTTGGGAGTGACAAACAGCTGGGGCCTCTGCAGGCAGGTGTGTCCCAACCGGGTTTCTGCCGCGTGTCTGACAGGAAGAAGCTGGCCCAGCGGCTGCAGGAGGCTGAGGAGGCAGTGGAGGCCGTCAACGCCAAGTGCTCCTCCCTGGAGAAGACTAAGCACCGGCTGCAGAATGAGATTGAAGACCTCATGGCCGACCTAGAGCGATCAAATGCAGCAGCGGCCACCCTGGACAAGAAGCAGAGGAACTTTGACAAGGTGGGAGCCCACAGTGGTGGGATGGCAGGAGATGGGGCTGCATGGATACGGGATGACCACTTGCTTGGCCCCAGGTCTTGTCCGAGTGGAAACAGAAGTTTGAGGAGTCGCAGACAGAGCTGGAGGCATCACAGAAGGAGTCCAGGTCCCTCAGCACCGAGCTCTTCAAGCTGAAGAACTCCTACGAGGAGTCACTCGAGCATCTGGAGACCTTCAAGAGGGAGAACAAGAACCTCCAAGGTGAGGCTGCAAAGTTCCCCCTCCTGCCCCACCTCTCCCCACTGCCTTCCATGTGGTCTGAGGTGATCCTGCCCACACAGAGGAGATCTCGGACCTCACGGAGCAGCTGGGCGCCAGCCATAAGACCGTCCACGAACTGGAGAAGGTCCGCAAGCAGCTGGATGCCGAGAAACTGGAGCTCCAAGCTGCACTAGAGGAGGCTGAGGTGAGCCGAACTGCATCCCCAGGTGTCCCCATGCTCTTGTGGGGTCTCCTCTGTGGTCCTCAGAATCCCCTCTGTCCCCCCAAGGCCTCTCTGGAGCACGAGGAGGGGAAGATCTTGAGGGCCCAGCTGGAGTTCAGCCAGGCCAAGGCGGAATCTGAACGCAAGCTGGCCGAGAAGGATGAGGAGATGGAGCAGGCCAAGCGCAGCCACCTGCGAGCAGTGCAGACCTCCCTGGATGCTGAGCCCCCCAGCCGCAACGAGGCCCTGCGGCTGAGGAAGAAGATGGAGGGAGACCTCAATGAGCTGGAGATCCAGCTTGGCCACGCCAACCGCGTGGCCACGGAGGCTCAGAAGCAAGTCAAGACCTTGCAGGGATACCTCAAGGTACCCATGGGCTTCCCGGCCCACCTGGAGACAGGCACGGGCATTCCCCTCCCCATCCATCCCCATCCCCACCTTCCCCACTGCTGCACAGGACACCCAGCTGCAGCTGGATGATGTGGTGCGAGCCAACGAGGACCTGAAGGAGAACATGGCCATCGTGGAGCGGCGGAACGACCTCCTGCAGGCGGAGCTGGAGGAGCTACGGGCAGTGGTGGAGCAGACAGAGAGGGCGCGGAAGTTGGCTGAGCAGGAGCTGCTTGAGGCTGGTGAGAGGGTCCAGCTCCTCCACTCGCAGGTGAGACCTCGTGTTCCTCTGAGGAGAGAGGTCATCTCCACCCAGGGGCATTCAAACCCTGGAAAAATTGCAGGTGTGGGCTGCTCCAGGGGTGGGGACCACGGATCTCCTCCACCCAGAGCTCCTCAAAGCCTGCAGAGGTGGGAGGGGGTCTCTGAGTCCCATGAGGCCAGGGAAGGAGGAGGCAACTGCCCCACGGCCACCTGCTGAGGTTCTCTCACCATCTCCAGAACACCAGCCTCCTCAACCAGAAGAAGAAGATGGAGGCCGACATCTCCCAGCTTCAGGCAGAGGCGGAAGAGGCCATCCAGGAGTGCCGGAATGCTGAGGAGAAGGCCAAGAAGGCCATCACCGATGTGAGTGCCACAGTGGGTCCCCCACCACAGAGCCCTTCCACCACCAGGCAGTGGAGGAGGAGCCTGGGGCCTCTGCTGGCTTCTATCCCGGGGCAGGCAGCCATGATGGCAGAGGAACTGAAGAAGGAGCAGGACACCAGCGCCCACCTGGAGCGGATGAAGAAGAACCTGGAGCAGAGCATCAAGGACCTACAGCTGCACCTGGCTGAGGCTGAGCAGTTGGCCCTCAAGGGGGGCAAGAAGCAGCTGCAGAAGCTGGAGGCCCGTGGGAGGGAGCTGGAGGCTGAGCTGGAGGCTGAGCAGAAGCGCAACGCTGAGAGTGTCAAGGGCTTGCGCAAGTCCGAGCGGCGTGTCAAGGAGCTCAGCTACCAGGTGGGGCTGCCGAAGCAGAGCCATTCTTCATCTTGTGGCATGGCCTAAACTTTGGCAGAGCTGGTGGCCACGGGGACAGGGATGATGCAGAACATCACCCCCTGCCCCTGTATCCACAGAGTTAGAACAGGGCTGACCTGGTGGCCATGGGAACATGGGTGACCCTAAACATCATCCACTGCCCCAATATGCTTGGAGCTAGAACATGGTTGACCTGGTGGCCACAGGGACAGTGATGACCTAGAACATGACCTAGAACTTGGTGTCCCTATATCCACGGAGCTAGAACATGGTTGACCTCATGGCCACAGGGACATGGTTGACCCAGAAAGTTATCTGGTGGCCACAAGGACCTGGATGACCAAGAAGCTTGTCCTGGTGGCAGTAGTGACGTGGATGACCCAGAACATCACCCGCTGCCCCTGTATCCACGGAGCTAGAACAGGGCTGACCTGGTGGCTGTAGGGACATGGGTGACCCCAGAATGTTAACCAGGTTGCCACGAGGACATGGCTGACCCAGAACATCACCCACTGCCTCCATCCCCACAGAGAGATAGGAAACAGGAGATCTGGACCTTACCCACCACAGTAGGGTGACCTAGAACCCAACTGGCCCTGTGGCCACAGGGAAAGGAGAAGCCAGATGGCAGCTGAGCCTCTGCCCAGGAGGTCTCTAGGTGGGGAAACTGAGGCACAGCAAGGGCCAGAAGGGGTGGGTGGGCATAGCTGGGGCCTGTCTCCAGCCTTGTCTCTCGCCTTGCAGACGGAGGAGGACAGCAAGAACCTGCTGCGGCTCCAGGAGCTGGTTGACAAGCTCCAGCTGAAGGTCAAGGCCTACAAGCGGCAGGCAGAGGAGGCGGTGGGTGCCCAGAGTCAGGGGAGGGAAGGACGGGTGGGCAGTGGGACAGACGGAGGAGAAGAACGAATGGGTGGTGGGACGGATGGAGGAGGAGGATGGACGTGTGGTGAGACAGACGGAGGAGAAGGATGGATGGATGGTGGGATCGATGGAGAAGAAGAAAGACAGATGGATGATGGGATGGATGGAGGAGAAAGATGGATGGATGGATGGATGGTGGAATGAGTGGAGGAGAAGAAGGATGGATGGATGGTGGGATGGATGGAGAAGAAGGAGGGATGGATGGAGAAGGATAGAGGGGTGGAGGGAGAGGTGGGTAGATGGATGCCAAGATGGAAGGATGGTGGGACAGTAGGATGGTGAGATGACTGGCTGGCGGGACAGATGGATGGCTGTGGGGTGGGGCCAGGGCCTTCCCCCTGACGACCCAACCCCCCAGGAAGCCCAAGCCGCCGCCCACCTGGCCAAGCTCCGTAAGGTGCAGCAGGAGCTGGAGGAGGCGG